TTATGTGGGGACCAGGGGAAGTTTATTTTCCTGGGTATCACTTACCCGAGTAAGTGGTACCCATCTCCTAGGTGGGTAAATAACTTTCCCACCTAAGGGGAAGGTTGCCAATACTTGAATGGGACAAAAATGACTCTTTTAATAATAGATTTTCATGGCTGAAATGGTCATTGCCTTGTTTACCTAGAAAATAAAAGAACAAGAGTAAATGCACTTACCCGGGTAAGTATTTTTTAGGAAAAACTTACCCAGGTAATTGCATTTACCCGGATAAATAACTTACCGAAAAGTGAACGTAGCCTTAGTGTTTTTATGTTTTTATTTAGTTTAAGGGGAATTATTCCTAATGCACAACTGCAAGTAGTGGCTGTGAGGAGACAGTCTTGTGAGGATGTGAGTTTGGTCAACCATTAAACAGGATTATGATTTGATAAAAGGATTATTGGTCTATGTGGCTGATGTGTCACAAAAACAAAATCTCAACAGACACAACACTACGATACCAAACATTCACCTTATGGGTGTAGCCGTGTAAAATCCTTTTGACACATTACCATTGACATTGTGTATGACACAAGCATTTATATCATATCTTGATTTTGGTTCCACCAAGTTTTCCTTTAAGTTTTAACTACTACAACCAGGACTTCAATAGGTACCAAGGTGCTATTAAAGCTGGTTGACCTTATGACCGGAGTAATGATGGGGAGAACCGAAGGCTGAGGATGTAGTAAGCACGTTAGGTAAGCACAATGAGTGAGCACGTAATAGCTGTGTGACACATGTCTCATTTAATGTGCCTTTTATCTAAATGTTTTTGTTTCGCTAGACAGAAATTATCCATTATTTTATTATCTTTGTCAAAATAAATAAAAATAAAAACAATAAAAAAGGAAAACCTAAATGTGTTGGGAGTTAGGACTCATTTACGTTTTCTTTTTTCATTGTTTTTTATTTTTAATTATTTTGACAAAAACAATAAAATAATGAATAATTTCTGTCTAACTGAGCAAAAACATGTGAATGAAAGACACATTAACTAGGACATATGTCACATAGCTATTACGTACTCACTCAGTGTGCTTACCTAACATGCCTACTACATCGGGACCCGGGGATGACATGTTGGTTGTTCGGACTTATTGCATATTTCATTAATACTTCACAAGTTGTAAGAATCCCAGGCCCTTTCCACTTAAAATCCTCACGATTAATGAAACTAAACACGCTAGGTGGAGTGATTGACAACTAGGTTAGAAACTATGCTTTGAGTTCTTCAATGCCTTAGTTGGGCTTTCTCCTTTGGAACGGATAGGAACCTTGGTGGTGGGATAGTACTTATGAAGTCTGTATCAATGATTTAACAATAAACCAAGAAGCCAAAACCAACCTCAGGTGGGAATGGAAATTTGGAATTCCTTAGCCTATGTCAAGTTGAGAACAGCAGTTTAATCAAGCCATTAGGTTGGGATCTATCGGGTTGGTATTCAACCCTGCCTAAGTTTCACCCTATCCCAGAGAGAGAGAGAGAGAGAGTTGGACTGTTGAAATTGTATAATGTCCAGAAAACACAGGAATGAAATTGTATAATGTTCAGAAAACACAGGAATAACAAGTATTGATGCTAATTAATACATGGGGATTGAAGGGGACGGTGGAAATTAGACTGTAGAAACTTTTTAATGTCCAGAAAACACAGGAATAGCAAGTATTGATGCTAATTACGAGTTTAAACAGGGCCATTCTCACTCTCACGTATTTGGCACACATACAAGTTTTGCACAGGTAGAGTACAGTGACGGTACAATAATGTTTCTCATCAACTTTACCCAACTCTCCTTCACTTTCTCCTTTGTTTTTCTCTCCATCCTCGTCAGTCTCACCTTTTCATAGAGTATATAGACTCCACCCTGCCATGAATTGGGATATGCTCCTCATAAAGCACGCCTCACACCGACCTCACAGCCACATTCCACCCACATCCCACCATGTTGTAAGGTTGATGTGAGGCGCACTCTGGGAGAAGCAGATCCAGACTCCCCTGCCATCGTTCCCTCCCAAGTCCCAACATCATGTACTTATCCTTCCAAGTGAGGCTATTACACTCAATCCCAGGGTTCTCCCCAATATCTTCTAAACGTGGTTGGCAACTTTTATCGCCTATCTGCCACCAACCGAGTGTCAATTGACCAGTTTTGAATTGTACCCGTCCAAATTAAAATCAAATTGGAGGAACTGATAAGACATATTAAATTAGACTAATCCAGAGTTAATGGTCCAAAGTATTTATTGACGTCGAGGTAGGATTTTTTCTTAAAGAGGGCCAAAAATTAGTCAACATGGATTGGGGGAGGGTGGGCAAAAACTAGTAAAACATGGGTAGGGGGGCCAAAATATGGGTAATAATTAAATGGGTATTATGGGGATTGTCAAGGCACAATGGCTCCCTCCACCACCCTCTGGCTCGCCCTTGGACCTGGTCCATTGATCAGATTGAACCAATATCTGGTCCATTGATAGAAGACAAAAGTATATGTGTCAATGGATCAGGTTTGGGTTAGAGCCAATTTAAATTAAAACCAATTTAGATAGATTGGACAGTTTAGACATTGAATTGGACTGGTCCAAAATGGTGTATTCGTTGGATTGGATTGGACTTTGTCCATCTGTAATGGACTCATATTGGACTGGATCAGATTAAACCAAATCAAGTTTGATTGACACCCCTACTTGCATGTCACCTCCTTCCTTGACTTCATAGACAAGCTCGTGGTTCATGAAGAAGTGCTTGGCTTGATGGGTTCCATCATTCTTGAGGCTTTTGTGTATTAGTCAAGCACACACCATTTGGTGTCAGAGCCTACCACCATGATCTCAAGTTCGAATCATGGAGAAGTCTAACTGGGAGAAGGGTTACTTAGAGTAGAGTGAAATATGTCATAGAAAAGACTACTTGGAGTACAAGTTGGCTTTAATAGTTCTAGCGCATAAACTATCACGATGAGTGCACAGTTTTCATACTAGTAGCTTTGCAAACAGAGAAAGATTGAAACAGTGAGGGTCTGTAAAACCCAACCCACTAGCTAACTTATCTTTCTTAACAAAATCCCATTTGAACCAGTTGATATTTTATTGGAATTGTCACCATCCCACCAAAATCTTCTCTATAACTCAACCATCTCATTACGAATTTGCTTATGAATTAAGAAGCATGATAAGGTGTATGCAAGAATGATGGTGGTTTAGTTATATTCCTTTTGAGCATGATTAAGATAAAGATCACCTAACAGTTTGTTTTAGTTGCCATCTTGTCAATTAAGCGACATAATAAGTAGGTGTTTGGCATCGGTGATGATGTCACATTGTTTTCTCATAAAAACAGTGTTGGGCATGTGTGAGTTGTAAGCATTGTTTTTTTTTTTTTGGAAGTGGTGCTGCCATATAGTCTATTCTCTGGGAAAACAATACTGATTTTGTTTGGTATCAGTGCTGTAGAACCGTTTTCAACATTGGTCATATTATCCAACGTCCAAAATGATGCCACATCATTGCACCACTGGCAGCAACGATCTGTTTTATGAGAAAACATCAAATTTCACATTGCTTTAAAGCACACTTTTCCGATTTACAAGATGTGGTTTGAAGAAATATTTTTTTATGAAAACGGTACCAAATAAGAGGCCGTTTTCTGAAACACCACTTTTTCTGATATAATAACTACATGACACCACTTTTTCTGATGTGACACCTACATGACCTCATTTTCTCAAAAAAACGACATAGATGCCTAACACCCACTAATTCTCTTTGAGATCTCCCAATGCCAATTGAAAGTCTTAAATCGATAGTGGGGTGATCCACCAATTTCATGTGCAGGGATTAGCAAGCATCCTTTTCAGCTTATAATGGAAACTGATTAAAAAAGGCTTCGGATTTACAAAAGTTCACTTATTGTCTTGAGGCCATTTTACAATTATGGATGTTATTTAGAAGCACATGGTATTCCTTGAGATCTTATCTAATAAATATATAATTATCATATACAAGGAATAAGTGAAATATAATTAGACAATCTCTATTCATTTTGAGTCCGTGTTCTGGACGCGTGAACCTGCGAATAGGAGAAGGACATGTGACCATGCCAACGTTAACGTGCATTTGAGCGTTAACATGGTCTGATTGGTTTAATCGACACGAACTGGTCGCGACACTAGAGATCCTTCCATCAAATCCTCCCCATACATCGAACCCTTCCTCCATTGCGGCGACAAGGAGACCTCCGGCGGCGACAGGTATCATCGTTGCTTTCTCTCCTCTTCTCTTCTTCTCATCTGGTCTCCATCGACGGCGACAGGTATGACCATCTGTGGCAGATGGGAACTCTACCTCGTTCAATGATTTGTCTTTTCCCTCTCTCTCTCTCTCTCTCTCTCTCTCCCTCCCTGCGGTTGACATGGAAGTTACGCAGAGTTCGGGACATAAATCCGTATCCTCAGTGATTCAATCCTGCTTCATCTGCTCATAGAGCCTCAGATCCAGACCCACCCAGAAACCAGGGTCCTTTAAGTTTCAACGAGAAAAAAACAACTGAAAATCCTCCTGTTAAAAACGGGTTTCCTTCCTGATTCCAACTATAGCAACAACAGCAGAACAGTGAGTGTTGCTTTTTCGAATTTCAATCTCTTTCCGATTTTTTATTAATTTCTGATCTTCGCATTTGTTGATCACCGAAAGTTTTGTATCGATCCCATGAGCTCAGCATGTTCTGATTCTCTCTGCAGTTCGAATTCTTCTATCTTTGATTCTGTTGTTCGAAATTTGTGATTTTTTTTTGTTTTTTAATCTCTAGGGTTATTCTCTGAAGAGGTTTTGAATGCTTTATTGCGGGAAGAATCAGTTTTAAATGGGATTTTGAAAATTTCGATTTCTCTCCCTCGGAAAGAGTATTGAACATTGAGTTAACATCGGTGAAATTGTTTGTTTAGAGAGGGAGCCGAATCAGAAAAAATTGAGCAGATAATTACTGAGTTTTTTACAAAGAGCTTACACATAACAATAGAGTCCAAGTCTCCATGCGTTTCCTCATGGAATTACAGTGGAGAGCAGACTCTCTCGTCTCCCCCATCGTCCTCATCTTCGTCTTCGAGTGTCAAGCCTAGAGATAAATGGTTCAACTTAACACTTCGGGTATGTCCATCTGCTTTAGAGAACATTGACCTCTGGCGTCAGAGCAATTAGGAATGAGTCCGTGTTGCCGTCGGAGAAGAGAAGAAGCAGAGAAGAGGAGAGAAAGCAACGCTCATACCTGTCACCGTTGATGAACCACCGGAGGTCTCCTTGTTGCCGCCAGAGGAAGGGTTCGGTGGAAAGATGTAGGTTCCAAGGTAGAACCTAAAATCTACTTTGTAAGGGTCAGTTCTAGGTTTTTAAAACCAGAATCTACCTTGCTAAGATCAATTCTAAGGCCGATGTAGTTTTAAGATCAATTCTAGGTTTGGCTATGGAATATGTTCTTTAAAATTGCACCAACCTTAGAACCAATCTTGACAAGGTAGTTTCTAGTTCCAAAAACCTAGAACTAAATACAAAATACAAATTACTGTTTTAACAAGCTTCATTGTAGTAGAGGCCAATAGAAATTATTGACCGAGTGTATTTTCTTAGGATAGTATGTTGGATTGTCATTCTCCAAGGTGACATAGAGGATGGAGTCACGGAGACTTCATCAGGAATAGATCATTTCCTGACTATCTCCATGGGAAGAAGTAGTATTCTTCTTCAACAGACTACTAGACGACTGCCATTCTCCTAATGTGTTCAAAGCAACCATATGCAAGCAGGGTTTGACCAGCCTATATAGCTCGATGGTTTATAATGAGATTATCTTTGTCTTTATTTGAAAATTTAAAGAATTAATAGGTAAAAGAGACTTTCTACAATTCTGTTAAAGATAACTCCAACAGGGAGGTCTTAGTCCAATTCTAAAAGAGAGGGGAGGTTTCAGTATTTTGGAGAAAAGCTAAGGGAGGTTTAACATTTTTATCGAAAAAATAGGGTAAATTACGAAGACCCCCATACTATGGGGTTAGTGAAAATTACCCCTGAACTTTCACTTTGCAACATGTATTCCCCTGGCCATTAAATCAGATGACAAAATGCAATAAATTACCAATTGAAACCAGCTAAGCAACAAGAATCATTTCACCAACATGGAATTAGCCCTTTTCTCTTAAACCCTAGCCATTAGATTCGCCCTTTACTCTTAAACCCTAGCTATTAGATTCGCCCTTTTCTCTTAAGCCCTAATTGACCCAAAATACCTCCATTTTCTCCAATTGAAACCAACTAAGCAACAAGAATCGTTTCACTAACATAGAAAAACAAGTTTCTTTAGTCTCCGTTTAGGAAGAGTGCAAATGTCAGTTCAATTCATATATCACTTTGGTTCATTTTTACTATTGCTTGGTAAGAATGTATTTATGTATTGAAAGTGACAGTTTTTACAAATTTCAAGGCATGTTTGCATACAAAATGAGAGAAAAGTTTGCATCCAAAAAATGGATGCAAACTTTGCACTCAAAATTGGTCAATATAAGAAAAAAGGTAGATTCCAATCTAGGAATTTGTGTTTGCACCCATCACAACTAAAAATAGTTTGGCAAGAAAATAAATTTATCAATGCAAAACTAAAATAACTTTGCATTTGCATGGAGCGGAATGCACTTTACATATTTGTATTTGCACTATTCTCAAACAAGGCCTTAAATTCTTGTTTCATTGCACTAACATTATTGTCTCTTCATCTTAAAATATAAAAATTATCCACTCATTTTTCTAATAAATCATGAAAAAACAAACGAAACATTAAATTTATATCTATGAAAAAGAAACCTCTACCATTTAGGTTGAATCCAGCCAGAAATCTGCAAAGATCTATTGGAGCAACCAAGAGGACTTCAGTAGTATACTTACAAAACTAATTGAGTCATAAGTTGTTCAAATAAATATGAAATGGGTAGTTTGGATATTTAAAAAATTAAACAGCTAAATGAGAATCTTTTTGGAAGTTAATTGATGAAACTCTAATGGAAGGGGGTATTTGTCGCAAGGTGAAAGTACAAGGGGGTCTTTGTTGTAAATGAAAGTTCAGGGGGTTGTCACTAATTCCATAGTATGAGGGGTCTTTTTAATTTACCCAAAATAATAATATGTTGCCTTTTTATTTTTTTCCTCTTTCAAAGCTTTGACCTTGGATAACAATACATTCCACATTTCAAATCCATATAGTCATTCAATCTCAAAGAAATAAAACATGATAAACAAACAATCTAAATAATATCACATAACCATTACTAATCCACAGCCCAACTTCACACACAATCCATAGATTAGTTAAATGCACTCTCAATGCAAATAGAATACCGTCTACAAATAACCCAAACAATACAATATAATTAATACATAATTCATCATTTAAATCCATACACTAAGTTTAAATTAAAACTAGGCCAATTCCACTAAGGCCGATCAAAGTATGTTCTTTGGGTTGATTCAGATACGATAAACATTGAATCCTTGAAATTGACTTAGGTAGTGGGGATAAATTCTAAGAATTTTAAACCAAACCTTACCTAAGAATCGATTAACCAAGCTGGTTTGAATTCGGTTTTAATTGATTTCAGGTAGAATCAACACATTTGCTCACCCCGAGGTGTAACGTATGATGCCGTTGGATGGTGGGAGATTGAAGTAGACCTGTATGAGGTGGAGGATGAAGCCGAATGGGAGCCAGAGGAAGGTGAGGAGGGCATTGCGTGGGGTAGGGCGTAGTAAAAGGCAGCCAGAGTGGATGATGATGGGGCTCCTCAAACACTCTTGCGGGACTTGGGTGGCTGATGGATCAGGTGGCACCATATATCCCTCCTGCATGGTGTTTCATTGAAGAAATCAAACTTAGTAACAATTCAAGAAACAACGGCCAAGTTGGGCCGGGCTTAGCATCTATGGTAACAGGTTATAGCCTAGGCCTAGATCATGGGCCTAAAATATAAGTCCAAGCATGGGTTTGTATGGGCCTAGGTTGGGTCAGGCCTAGGGGTGGTCACAAGTTGAGCTTCTCACAAGTTATTCAACCTCGGTTTGACTCGGTTTAAATCGAGCTTCAAACTGAGTTCGAACCAAGTGAAGTTAGTCACGTGAGGCTCGCAAGATTAATTGAGCCTAGTATAATAAATAATGTTTATTTATTTATTATACTATATATAATAAATAATTTTTATTTTTATGTATAACAGTAAATAATTTTTATAATTCTTATTTTTTGTATGTAAAATAAAAACATTTTTATATGTATATATATTTTTTTATTTTTTATATGTATAATAATAAATAATTTTTATAATTCTTAATTTTTTGTATGTAAAATAAAAAATATTCTTATATGTATAATTTTTATTATTTCTTTTAAACTTGGCTTGCAGTCGAGCTCGAGTTCAAGCCTAGCACAATTTTAGCGAGCTGAGGTCAAATAGCCAAGTATTCTACTCGGTTCGGCTCAAATCCACCCCTAGTCAAGCCTATGGCATTTAATTTTAAAAATTTAACTATTTAAAAAAAATTAAACTAAACAATGTATAACACATTAAAAAAATATTAAAGAAACCCAGGAAGTTAGGATGGATTTGGTAAGCTTTGAGCTTATGGCACTAAAAATAAGGCATGAACCTCATTTAATTCCTAGACTTGGCTTGTCTTGGCTTGCCCTTCCTTTTATAGATGAAGGTATAAATTCATTCCCTTTCCCAAGCATTGTGGGACTTGGAGTAACATTCAATGGTGACGATCGAATTCGAATGGGCTCCCACACAACATGCCCCAAAGCATATCCCTGCTATGTATTGGGAACATCTCCCCATGACAAGTACAGGAAATGTTCCCAATGCAAAGAGTGATGTGTTGTGGGGTGTGCTCTACAATTTTAACTCGTGAATATCAACTATTGAGTATTGTTCCTAGCAATATTTTTAAAATGGGAATTAGTCACTTGATTGGTTCTGTTTCACCTAAAAAATGTTTTCAGGCCAAAAACAGTTGATTTGGTCAACAAACCTTTTGGCTATTTTTTGCTTTTTGTGTTTTTGTTTTTTTTTGTTTTTATTTATTTTTGTCAAAATGGGCTATCCATTTGACCCATGAACTAGTTTCTATAACGGTTCTCTGTCCGGTCCGGTTTTAAAAACTTTGGTTGCAAATCTCACATTATTTGAGAAAAGAAATGGAGGCCATGCCCATAAGGACAACCTACTTAAAGTAACCCTAGATTTGTGAAATGGACTAAGTATTTCTCTCGTTTCAATAATCCCTTAAAAAGTGAGATTATAGGGCACGCTCCACATGTACATCTAGACGTGCATTGGGAACATCTTCCATACTTATCATTGGAAGATGTTAGCAATATATACTGTAGGGGATTGTGGGGTGCGCCTTGTGGGGCACCGATGCAACCTCTTAAAAAGTATCCTCGGTTTACCATCATCCAATACCGATGAAAGATAAAAGTAGGAATGAACCGTCTCTAATGATTCCCAATATGAGAGAAGACATGGCTTTGTCAATCTTCATGGCATTTCGATTGCTAGAGATTAAGATGGTCCATGAGATAGCATCTTTCGATGCATTTCCATGTTGCTATGAGAGAAGACATGGCTGCCAGTACTGTTCAATCCTCACATGATGCCTCCACCATCACTGCCATATTTCGGTGGTTGTGATTCATCTTTTTTCTCTCTGCCTTCAATGAACTTTGCTCGACAGTTGCTCTCCTCTCCTCTATCAATCTCCTCTTCTTATTCCTCTTTACCTTCAACATCTAGAAACTCTATTCAAGATTTAACTATGGTGGCTAAGCCGATGCTTCCACTACCAAACCACTAATCAGAAACAACAGAATTCATCCGATATTAACTCTTTGGTTCGACCTCCTTCTCACTCTAACAGCTCTTACAGGCATTTGCTATATAATCCAAGGCATTTTACACTCTTACCCTTTAGAGGTACTTAAGGGATTATTGAAACCAAAAGGGAATACTTAATAAATTTCACAAAATCTAATGGTACTTTAAGCATTTTATCCAAAATATTATATAATATTGATATCATATATAACATTAATTATATACAATTTATTATATTATATGTAAGTTTAACTCTATTAAACTAACCTTATAATGAAAGTAAAATTTTGAAAATGCCTATGTTCTGACTTTTTTCTCATCATCTTTCTTCTATCTTTCCACTTTGATGCAAACCAGCGGTGACAAGGTTCGTTCAACCTCGTTCGCTGCGTTCGAATTCCAAAGATAGAAGAAAGATGAACACTGAAAAAAATAAAAAGCCAGAACATAGCATATATTATTGCCACGTGTCATACTTTATATATTTGTATTATTTTGTTTTTTGAATAACGAAAAGCCAAAAACAAATACCGTGCAAAGTTCCATGAAATCGTGGTCAGACTCGCGATCTCCGATCCCTAAATCGGGCAAATTGTCATCAAATTCCTTGAGGATGGCCGATCTTTTCAAAGGCCCTACTAATACCCCTGGGTTCTTCACAAAACCAGTAGATCTCCCCGTTCTCGGGTTGACCTCGATCTCCGTTCCCAACACCTTGTCCCCGCCGAGGAAATCTTTGACGAACGGCTCCACCATCACCGTCGGGTTGGCCGTCACTACAATCTTGTTCCGGCAGTTGCTAAACAGGTTCCAGCTCTCTGATCTCACATCCGCGGCGTAGAATCTTGGCAGCACCGCTCGGGATGCAAGCTCAATCTCTCGGATCTTCAAACCCGCAAACGATATGAAGATGAGGAGCTGAATGCCAAGAGACTCAGAAACGAATTTGTAGGCAACGAGGATGACAGGAGAGGCGAGAAGGAGAGCCAGGCCGCGTAAAAAGCTGCCGGCTTCGATGGCTATCAGCATGAAGTAAGGAAAGGAACTTCGGGAGATGAGGAGAGTGCCGTCGAGATCGGCGGCGATCGTTTGGCTGTCTCGGCCAGACACGTTGCAGTGTGAGATCGGTGGAAAGTAGCGGGATCGAGCAGACATTTTTTGGTGGTTCTTGTGGGGAGAATTCTTCTAACTTTCTTAAACTACTCTTGTAATTTATTTAAGTAATTTACTAAGTATATTTTAATGCTTCTTACTATTTTTGCAATTGATTACTTTTGCCCTTATGGTTGGCATCCGTTAATATTTTATCAAAATTTTTATGTATGTGACATATAATTTTTTATACTCAATTTTACCCCTTGCCTTCTTCCTGAGTTTTGACTCAGTCCTAAACTAGTAGTAGTGATAATTTTTTGTGGGGGAGAATTCTTCTAAATTTCTTAAACTACTCTTGTAATTTAGGTAATTGACTAAGTATATTTTTAATCTTTGATTATTTTTACAATTAACTACTTTTGCCCTTATGGTTGGCATCCATTAATATTTTATCAAAATTTGTATGTATGTGACATATAATTTTTTATACCCAATTTTATTCCTTGCCTTCTTCCTTTCAGCAGCGGTAAATCATGTTTTGACTCGATCTTTAACTAGTAGTAGTGATAATTTTTGTGGGGAGAACTCTTCTAAATTTCTTAAACTACTCTTGTAATTTAGGTAATTGAYTAAGTATATTTTTAATCTTTGATTATTTTTTAATGCTTCTTACTATTTTTACAATTGACTACTTTTGCYTTTATGGTTGGCATCCSTTAATATTTTATCAAAATTTGTATGTATGTGACATATAATTTTTTATACCCAATTTTATCCCTTCCCTTCTTCCTTTCAGTAGTGGCAAATCATGTTTTGACTCGGTCCTTAACTAGTAGAAGTGATAATTTTTGTGGGGAGAACTCTTCTAAATTTCTTAAACTACTCTTGTAATTTAGCTAATTGACTAAGTATATTTTTAATCTTTGATTATTTTTTAATGCTTCTTACTAKTTTTACAATTGACTACTTTTGCCTTTATGGTTGGCATCCGTTAATATTTTATCAAAATTTGTATGTATGTGACATATAATTTTTTATACCCAATTTTATCCCTTGCCTTCTTCCTTTCGGCAATAGCAAATCATGTTTTGACTCGGTCCTTAACTAGTAGTAGTGATAATTTTTATGGGGAGAACTCTTCTAAATTTCTTAAACTACTCTTGTAATTTAGGTAATTGACTAAGTATATTTTTAATCTTTGATTATTTTTTAATGCTTCTTACTATTTATACAATTGACTACTTTTGCCCTTATGGTTGGCATCCGTTAATATTTTATCAAAATTT